TGGGGGGTGGGGGGGGGTGGGTAGCAGGTCTGGCTGCAGTACATCCCAGGCTAGGAGGGAAAAGGACACTTCCTCACTTCCAAGTCTTTCTCCGGACAGCTGAGTTGTGCTCAAACCAGCCAGATGCCATCTTGCGCGCCATTTGGGAGAGATTAGAATTTGATCAAAATCCTCCACCTTTCCTTTGCATTGAACGCGACCTTGGGTTAGGCCATTTCCCCTCTCGGAGCCTCAGTCCCCCCACTGCCAGATGAGGAGGTGGGAATCTGTCTCAGAGGGCCCTTTGATTCTCTGACTGCCTGCGATCCTCCTCTTCGCTCTTCATCTGGGATGCTGACGCTCCAGACCGAGGACAGACGTCAGAGCAGGGACCGATTGGGGAAGCGACGAGCCAGCATTCGTTCACTCCAGCATTCAGTCAGTAAGCACTTACTAAGTGCCTGCTGTACGCAGGATACCGCTCTAGGCCCTGGAGACTATGCCGTGGGCAGCACAGACAAGGTTCCTGGCTCTGGCACTTTCTAGCTGTAAGACATTAGGCAAGTTGAACTCCCTGGGCCTTGGTACCCTTGTGGATAGAAATAGGGTAAAACAGTACAGCCTCCCAGGGCAGGCACGAGGGTTTGAGGAGACGGTCCACATAGTGCCTGACACGTGGTCGATGCACAAAAACACGAACCCTGCTTACTGTGAGGGCCAAGGCGGGGTATGTGTGGGAACAGACCAAGCTGAGCCAGGGTCCTCTGTTCACAGCGCCAGACCACTGGGGCTTCCTGGAACTGAGTGAAGATTCCCCCTGTGGAGTGCCATCAGCTATAGAATGCTTACCTGGAGGGGCAGACAGGCCAAGGACAGGGTAATTCCAGATGGATTAGCCGGGCCCTAGACTTTACCATATGGGGCCAGTGGCCCGTGAGATCCTTGAGGTGGGAGCCAGCTTAAGCTGATTTATTTCCCTCAGCGCAGAGCTGTGCACACAGGTAATGACCCGAATGGCCGAGAAACCCACCTGGGCACCCACAGAAGGTCCCGCCCACAGTTTTCGTCGAGGTGTGAAGCAGGCGTAACTTGCCACCATTACAGGCAGATGTCTTCCCAGACCGATGGCACCAAGGCACTCCCACCCGCCTGCTCTCCTGGGGCGGCGCATGGTGTGTGGTGTGCCTTCCTCCTCTGGGTCCTCCAGCTCTCACGGGAGCCTGTTCGCGCCACCGTGGCCCCTCCCTCCCTCCTCCTCACCTGGCGACACGGGCCCCTCCTGGTCCGCAGACACGGGAACCATCCGCTGACCTCGTGCGACGCAGAGCACCGTGGCCCCGGAAGCCTCACCACCTTTCTCTTCCCCACAGTGGACTGGTTCCCCGTCTTCCGAGACCTGGTCAACATTGGCCTGAAAGCCTTCGCCTTCTGCGTGGCCACCTCGCTCACCTTGCTGACCGTGGCTGCCGGCTGGCTCTTCTACCGGCCCCTGTGGGCCCTCTTCCTTGGCTGCCTGGCCCTGGTGCCCATCGTCATTGCTCGGACCCGGGTGCCGGCCAAAAAGCTGGAGTGAGGCAGGCCCTGGCCCCCACCCGACACCCGCGTGCTCCTCAGGATCCAGCTCACCCCCCGCCCCCGTGACCCCGCTCCTCGCCCCAGCACGAGCCCGCATCGGTTTTGGATTCTGCGCCCGCTCCGCTCCTCAAGGGGCCACGCCTCGCGGTGCGCGTGGACGTCAGGTTTGGTGCCCACCAGCTCGCGTCTTCCCACCCTCTTTCTCGCCAGCAGGCAGCTCCCGGCTGGCCGTGTGACAGGCGACAGGCATCCATTCTGCTTGCTTCCCTCCCTTCCCTCGGGACCGTGTGGCTGCTTCACGCGTCTCGCTTGGCTGATGTCTGCCAACAGTGAGCTGGTGACACTCCACACGGACCTGCTGCCTTAACGCTCACCGGACCCTCACCCTCACCCTTGGAGACAAGTGCCAGGGCTCTGCCCAGCCACCCCTGCCCCGTGATCCCGTGCGGCCACCGTCACCAGCGGCCTCTGAGTGTGCTGCGGTGCCGGACAGACTGGGCACGGGCCCCCACGCGAGGCACCACAAACCCAGTTCGGGCACGGCACCTGACTTGGTACTTAGAAAAGCCACCGAGGTCACGGTGAAGAAGCGTGGGATATTTGTTGGGCTTTATTTACACGTAGTTGATAGTTTGGCAGAAACTTCTTAGTGTGTAGGATTTCCAAAGTTCTCATTTGTTATGTTTCTCTTTGCTACACTTCATGTGTATTTTCCTACTCTAAGAGGGTGTTGTTTCAAATAAGATTTAAAAACACAAAACACTGCTTGAATGATGAGCACTTCAGACTGTTAGAGAAAAACTCCTCTTAATCTGTCAGTTGAAGTTAATTCAGGGCACAGAGAGGTGTAAATGGGGGTGTGACTTACTGCTTAAAAAAGAGTCACCTCCGTCAGAACTCTGGTCACTGGGAGGCTCCAAGGTGCTTTTGAAGCCAGCGTTGGCGAAGGGATCCCACTCTGGGAGGAGAGGGGAATTTGGAGAAGGTGGAGAGAGGCATTTCCGTTTATCCTCTGGCATCAGAAACTACCGATTTACTTGAAGATGGTTTTGAGTTTTCAGTCAACCGTTCAAGGAAAAGGCTGGATGCTTTCTCATCCTGAGTGGGCTCCCTCGTGCCCCCATCACCCCAAACCAGAAATCTGAGACCTGACGCTTGTGCAGCGCCCGGGCCTCATGCCTTTCACCGTGGGAGGCGTTCACACTAGCAGCTGGCCCCCGGGTAACTCCTGTTGTGCCCACGTCCACAGCTTCTCTAAGTAAAATGTACCCACACTTCATTGCGCTCCTGCTGTTTCCCAGCTACTCTCACGCCCTCTGAAGCATAAAGTGTGTTGTCACCTTGATGTCTCAAAAGGTCCTTCGTATATCCTTTATCTGTTTATTACTTGGAAACTGTTCTGCCTTGCTGGGAGCGGTCGCTTTAGCAAATTAGTTGGTAGTTGAGTGAGTGATGGGAGACCTAACAATCTCTCATCGGCCTGGGAGATCTGTGGTGTAACTTCAGGTTCTTCGTGCAGAGAACAGCTGGCCCCAAAGAGGACTTAGCTGGATTTAAGAATCGAAACGGTATTCACCACTGCTTATCACGTGAGCAGTCGTCATTGAGTGTCTCCTCGTGAAGGATGCTTTTGGAAAACAATACAACTAGATGGTGGCTGAATACAAACTCTGTGGGATTTGGTTTGTGTAATTTTTTCTACTACAGATTTTAAATTACTGCGAATTTCAGTAGTGTTCTTAAAGAGCAAAATAATGTTAAGAAATGTTTGAAGTCTTTGGGAAATCATGAAATTTGTATCGTATTTGTATTTTTGATAAAAATTCAAAATAAATTTCAAAAGAGCTTTTTTTTTTAAATTTTTTTTTCTCAATGTTTTTATTTATTTTGGGGACAGAGAGAGACAGAGCATG